AAAAAAAGAAGAAGGAAAAATAAGCCAATTAGTGCCCTATTTGAAGTATCTCTTGACCTCTTCTCTTCCGGATAAAACCTGGTTTTGGCATCCTTATTGGTGTCACTTCAAGCCTCTATGGTGCAATTGACAGATGTGTAGGAAATAACATTCTAAAGCACATATTAAATGGTTTGATGGGTATATTATTGCTTTTCTAACACTATGGTTAGCCTTTCAACTTATGTTATTAATAAAACTGTGAACTTTTTTTCTAGTCTTATCCATATCTTGGAGCCATTGGCTGGTCATCTCTGTATTGTGTGTTTCATGCAATCCCCATGGCTTCTTATTTCAAAATTTTTTCCTTTGGAATTTATTGCTGGTGGAATTGTTGAATTTAATGAGAGAACTTGGTTGATTATGCTCTAATCTATATCTTTCTTCAGGCATTTCCTTTCAATCTGTATGACCTGTTGGAGCAAAGTCTACCTTTCTACAACATGCTTCGAAGCCGAGTTAGGCGGAAATCATCCCTTATGAAGACCTTGCCACCTCCAGTTCTTCCCGTTCCTGCCAATGAGAAGCTACTCGCATGGGTTGGTGATGAAATTTTACCTCGTGAGAGTGCAAAGGTACTTAATTGTTGAAACAAGTGTAGATATGCATTCCATGGAATTTAATTTCACTTTACTTTTACTGATGTGTATTTGTTTTAAGTTTCTGATATAATTCCCATCTCTATAAGGTTTCTGTATTCGACTCGGTTGTGCAAGGTGGTGATGCTGTGTGGGAAGGACTTCGAGTTTACGATAGAAAGATATTTAAGCTTGAAGAGCATTTAGATAGGTTGGTAGAAAAAATGGAAAAAGTTTGACAACAGAAATTGGTTTTAGTTACTCACTTCTGTCGAATTATTTGGTTTCATTTGTGCCATTGAATGTCCAGTATACTGTCAGTAATTCCTTTGTGTGGTCCAAAACAGATGATAATTTATGGTAGCTAATAAGATCAAATTCTATATGCTGCCACACCTTATAAATAGAACTTCAAAAGTTTTTCAAATATTACGGACAAGCTACTTAATTTAGGCAATTTACAGTCTTAGTATGGATTTTCTGAATTCCCTTTATAAGTGTTGCAGTAGTATACGTGTTAACTGGCAGGACTGTGGAACCTTTAATCTCACTCGAGTGTGACATATTGTGGAAGATGGGCTGATGAAAATATGCCATCTTCTAAACAATCTTAATCCTCATTGGTAGTTCCTAACTTTTTTTTTTTTTTCTTGTTTTGGTTCTTTTCATTAGGTTGTTTGATTCAGCAAAGGCTCTTGCTTTCAACAATGTTCCATCGCGTGATGAGGTAAGGGTTTGACGATGAATTTGAATATCAATGTGGTTCTGTGTGCTGTAAAGTATTGGCAATTAGTTTATGGAGGCTTTTGCTCACTTGCCCTTTGCCTTAGGAAAAAAAAAAAATTTCATTGGTTGATTGCAGTAAAATTGTATTTTCTACAGATTAAAGAGGCCATATTCAGAACACTCAATGCCAATGGAATGTTTGATAACACACACATCCGATTAACTCTTACGCGTGGAAAAAAGGTCTGTAATCTTTTCTTTCTCCCCCCATCCCCTCTTGTTGATTTTGTTGAAGTTTGAGGAATGTTTGGATCCCATGTTCTACTTAATGCTTGGGCATGCAGACAAAGATAGGGAAGGCATCTAGAATTTTTCAATGTTTAACTGTTTCAAAATGTCCAATTAGTTTGGTAATGTCATTTGTGTGGTATTAAATGGTCCTTGAAGATTCTATGCAGAGATTGTTGTTAAAAAGGAATCAAGAAATCATAGCTCTGGCTGTGGAATTGCAAGGATTTATATTTTGTTAGAGATTTCTTTTGGGGGGGCACTTGTTTAGAGATGTTTAGTTATCTTGTCATGTGGGTTAAGTAGTGAAAGTGTGATGAGTTTTAAATAAAATAAAATATTTTAGGGATTTGGTTGTTACTATTGATCAAGTGAGCAAAGTTGACAATGAAGAATTCTTATTTGATTAATCTTTTGGCATTAGGATTTCCTCATAGATTTGCAATCCTGTCTTTTTCAGGTTACTTCTGGGATGAGCCCTGCATTTAATCTTTATGGATGTACATTAATCGGTAAAGTTATTTGGAAATCTTTTTGTGTCAATGACAGATTCCTTATTCTTTTTTGTCTGTTAACACTTGATTTTTGGCTCTAAATGAGAACATGTTGTGATAGTGCATACAAACTTTGAAGAGGAATAACTGATTCTCATTATTCTGATATTTTTCTTTCATGCATGTAAAGCTGCTATAAATCATAGGCTTTCTTAGGGGACATCTAACATTTGTTTTGAAAATGGCAGTGCTTCCTGAATGGAAACCACCTGTCTATGATAATGTGAGTGGTATAATGCTGGTTACAGCTACTACAAGGCGCAATTCACCAAATGTAATATTATTGGCACCTTTCTTTTACAATTTGATGGTCTGTTTTCACATCATGTTTTGGCTGACTTTGATTCTTTTCTTCAGAATCTGGATTCAAAGATACACCACAATAATCTTCTGAATAATATACTAGCAAAGGTATTGCCCTATCTGGTACCTTAATAGAATACTTGATAAAAATGACAGTAGGAATTCTGATGATATTTGGTCTGTGATTTGATTTCCATTCTCATTCGTTTACATTATGCAGGCAAAATTATTTATCTATTCTGAATTTAACATTACAGAATTACTGTAGTCCTAATACCAACCAACTAAAACATTCTTGGTTATATTAAGTGGAAGTGCTTAGTTTCTGGGATTTTCTTCTGAGAATGCTGCTATTGGCTCTTTTTGATACTTCCAAAATTATGTGATCTAATAAAATCTTATTTCCAGTTTTCCTATATTTGGTTATGGGATGGATAATGGATTTCTGAAATTTACTAGCATGTAAACTATGATTGGTTGACATAAATGGTATTTACACATATTAAATGTTGGACTTAAGTTTCCATGCTCTTGATTCTGGATCTTCAAATTTTTGCCTTAGAACTCCGATTCAAATTGATTGAGTTAATTATGTGATGCAGGTAGAAGGGAATAATGCAAGTGCTGATGATGCAATAATGCTTGACAAGGATGGCTATGTGTCTGAAACAAATGCTACAAACATTGTAAGGATTCAGTTCCTGATTTTACATCTAGATATAATCTGTGAAATTTTAGGTTGAGACTAAAAAGGTGTTAAACACACAGGCACATACCAAATAATTATGTTCAGTTTTCAGAAAAATATTTATGGTTGGAATGTTCACGAGTCATACACATGTTTTCAATTAGTATCCATTGTTATTTTTGTAACCTAGATAAATGTTGTAAGGATGTGAAATTTACTAGGAATCTAATCCAGTCTTTATGTTGTTTTTCAAGTGAGGATGATCATGAGAAAGTTTCTATTAGAGATTTCCATTGGGAACTTAGGTCTTACTATACCTGTTGGGAGAGGATGTATTTGGCGCAGACTTGCAGTAACTGATTACTTATTCAGAATGCATCTACTTTTCATTTTAAACACCTGCCAAGAAATCTTCATCTGTTTCATTTTTGCAGTTTTTGGTAAAGAAAGGTCGTGTTTTGACACCTCATGCTGATTACTGCCTTCCTGGGATTACTCGAGCAACTGTAAGTTGCCTAAACTATTGTCTTTTTGGGGCATTCTGATGAAGCTCCTACTTTGCTGATGTTAAGGCAACAAATAAATTTAATAAACTGCTTACAAAGTATGTGCAAGTTAAATTTGGGCTTGTTTAGATTTATATTGCCTACTTTGAAAAACGCAAGTCAGAAAGATCTAGCAGAAAAATTTAATACTCCTTTTCTTCTAATTAAATGCTTGTAGATAGAATTAAATTAGGTTTTTTTGGTTGCCCAACCCAGTTAAACGTTGTTTTTCTTGCTTCATTTAAGTTGGTAACATGATAAGGACGTAAACTTCATTTTATGTTGTCTTTTTAGTATTTTATGACAATTTTGTCACTGGGGTTGCAGGTTATGGAGCTTGTTGTGAAGGAAAAGTTGGTCCTAGAGGAGCGAAGAATCAGCCTATCAGAGTTCCATACTGCAGATGAGGTTTCTGCTTCTTATAAATTCATTAATCACTATGTTTATGTATCATTCTTCTAATATTCCATTATATTTTTTTCTTGAATGCTCTTTTAAGTAATAGAAAGTGCTACTAAAAATTTCATAGGGCATGCATTTTGATGGCACATAAATTCAAGAGTATATGAAAGAGTGAAAGAAACAGAACTCCATCTCAAATTAGTATTTAAGCATAGTACAATTTCATAAGATATTGAATTTGATTGTCCCTTCATCTTGATGGAATTCTTCTTTTTTCTTGTCATATTCTGTTTTTAGTTAATCAGTTAATCTGAGAAAGTATGCCTTGCAGGTATGGACAACTGGAACGATGGGAGAACTCAGCCCGGTGAGTTTCCTTTTCAAAATAATGAATTTATGACCCTAATGGAATATGGATCTTAGATTATCTTGGGTAAATTCTGTTCAATTTATATTGTGTCACTCAAAAATACTTGGTCACAACAATGCAGTTTGTATGGGTAAATTGGATTTTAGAATTTTTACAAGGAAATAGCTCTAATTATTCGGTAGTTAAAGGTAATTACTGTTTGTTTTACAATTTATCAAAATGTTAAGTTTCAATGAGGGATCTGTCTCAACTACTGGCACATTTTGCATGCTGTTTTTGTTCAAATTGAAAGTTTTCATGTTAGTGGAAGCGATATTTTCATGCAAAATCCCATGTTAGTGAAAGTGATATTTTCATGCAAAATCTTTAAACAGGTTGTGAAAATCGATGGTCGAGTGATTGGTGATGGGAAAGTGGGGCCTGTCACTAGAAGACTGCAAAATGCTTACAAAAAGCTGACAGAAGAGTCCGGAGTGCCTATACCATCCAATGAAGAAAGTTGAATGAAATCACTTTGATGGAGGTGCACTCTGTTTCTAATTTGTTTTGTTTTCAGTTTTTCTATTACTCTGATAGAAATTGCGTAGAAATTGGGGAGCATCCATTCTCACGTTGCAAATATAGTTCTTTTGAGTGCTTTTTACACGGCCAGTGTTACTTGAGCATGGTTGAACATGAAAACATTTAGGAAAAGAAAGGGTAAAAGGAATAAAATGAAAGAGTAAGAAACAAGATGTTACAGAGACTGTCTTGCGCCTTTTTTCTTGACTTGCAAGGGATATCTTTCCTTGGTACTTAGTTGGTTATGATTACAAAAGAAGTGACCCTTATAGAACAGTTCAGGTTGGAGTTTTCTCGAGCTTGAGAAGTTTGCATTACTTTTCTTCGAGCAGAGCTCAAATTTGCTAAAGCTCACATCTGGTCTGCTCATTTGGAGCCTTGTAATTGGGATAAAGAGCATCCACATATTGGTGATTTCGTTTACTAAGTTGTTCTTAAGCTTTTAGAAACGTTATTAAGTTACATTTTTAAGTTTCATGATTGAATCTCTTCTCATTGCCTCCAGTAACTAATGGAAACTGTGAATATCAGGTCACCATTGCTGACCAAGACTGCAAACTAGAGCTGAAATCGAGTTGGAAATCGCTTCAAGACCACGAAATGGGATTTCTTGGTGTGAAAGACATCCTTTTTTCGTCTTGGGAAGTTTAACTTTTAGGTTGTGTTGGATATGTTCATTCTCCCCAATAATGCTGAGAACCAATTGTACTACTCTTGGCACATCCAATGAGATGCTTTTTTATTTCACCCTTTCTGTTACATTTATTTGTTTTCTATACAACCAACAGATGATCATTTCACCTACAAGAATTTAGCCCGTTAATAACCATTTTATGTCTAACTGTAAAACCTTGATTTGAGGTTAAGCTTAGACAAATTTTTGTAGTTCTGTGCAGCCAACTTATGCAATGAAAAGGAACAACGCCTTCTTGCCAAATCTCTTCACGTCAATATTATTCGTGTATAATGAAAAGATACAACGTGTTTTGTTAGAGATCAAGTTTAGTGGAAAAGCTTTTATTTTTTATTTTTTTGATAGAAAATAGAGATTTATATTAAAATAAAAAGAGATTACAAATGAATCCCTATCACAGGCATATAGCTTAGTTAAAACAAAAGCATAACTTACAACATTAGTAACAGATTTAAATTATATCCATGATAAGTATAGATAATTAAGCAAAGAGGATAATCTGTAATTAAAGATTGCATCTACAATCGTTGTATGAGCATAAATAGGACTACTGAAGTAGAAATGAAAGTCACTATGAGTATCAAAGACTACTGGATATCCTCGCCTGTATAGCCAGTTTCATGGGGAGTATGGGAATCTCGACATCAACAGTCCCCAACCTGCTAGATGTCGTCCCTTTCTAATGCATGCTTCAACCAACATGAGGGTCATGGCCTTTAGCCAATTGGGCTGAAGCCACCCCTGTATTGTCTACAAGCACTTTAAGGGCTCTCTCTTCCTCCATAGGCATTAGACAACTCCTCCACTTGTTTTGAGTGCATTCCTCTGAGTGCAACTTGGATACGCTTGCACTATCTAGCCTTTTCCAACTACCCTTATTTGCTTTTGTATTTTGCCCTTTCCCTCTATGGTTACTCATGTCCCCAAACTATTGGGACAAAGGAATGTCCACCAACTGTACCTCAGCAATCGGAGGCAAAACAACATGAGACTAGTTTGTCTCTACTCCAAACTCCACATCATTTGTGCCATTCTCATTGTTACCACCGTCAACTTGTCTTCCACAGATGGACATATTATTAAGTGATTGGATTTCGTCATTCTCAAAATGCTCTATATCATCTATGCCCTTATCCCCCATCAAAATTTGGGTATTTGTAGAGAAGGCTTCATCCAAAACATCAAAATCATCCTTGCACCATGAGTTCTTTAATTCAACTCTTAACCAAGGACCAAAGCGTCTGATAATCTTACCACCTACATCTTTGATGCAATGAGCAATTTCACAATCATTCTCAACATGTCCCAAACAACCACAAACAAAACAAAACTCTAGGAGTCTTTCATATTTAATCCTTAGATTCCTACTCTCTGTTGCAATAATTTGAGAAGTCTTGAATTGTCTTAGTGGGTTATCGACATCCAAGTCTATTCTAACTCAAATAGCTTTCTTGAATCCTTCATTCACCTCTAGGACTCGTCCTAACGAACTTCCAATCATGAAACCAATCTTCTCAACATGCAATCCAACAAGGACATCAAAAATTCTGATCCAAAATGGGTCTGTGGAAAAATTATATTGCTCTGGAGTTAAGGGAGGCCTAAAATCTTTTAAAAATAAGTCGTGAGTTAGTAAAATTCCAAGGACCTTTATGGATGACTTTGTTGATATCCCCAATATCAGAAAGTTAGAAAAGATAAATCTTTTCTCCGATCTTTGAGATTTTAAAAGTTTTCTTAGGATTCCAGAGGCCACTAAAGTATTATGGAGGCCATTTAGGTTGACCCGCCTTCAAGATAGCAGTTTTCCGACCAACTGCAACTTTTCCAAAAAAGCTTTTATTGATTTGGTTAAAGACCAAACAAGCCATAAATGTAGGAAAATCCTCAAAGAGCATAAATTAATCTATCGTAGATGATTGTTTTTCTTTAAAATATGCTAATACATCCTTAATAAATTTACAATCACAGACAATAATCAATAATGCAAGTTCACAGACAATAATCAATCATGCAAGTTCAAGTATAGAAGTAAAACCAAAGGGCAAAAAGAACAAATTAGCTAACCTTAGCATATGGCCATCATTTTTTTTTTTTGAACAGCATATGGCCATCATTTTTAATTCATACTCATACTGAGAATAATTTTTTTTTGGTGAGTCACTAATCCGATAATTCAAATGAGCTAACTTTGAGCGAAATCTAAGATCATCATCTTCATCTTTAAAATCATTAACTTCGTCTTCATCGTCTTTCATGATCTCCACGCAAAAATCAACAATAATGGCTGGAAATTGATAAAAGAAAGAAATGCTAATGGTTAATTAGCTAATGGAGGTTTGC